CCATCTTCTACATTCCAATCCTAACTTACCTCCCTATAAAGTGTCATAATTCTTCTTTTCCAGTAAAAAAAAACACCCAAAAAAGGAAAAAAAAAAACAAAACAAAAAAAAACCACAAGGAAGAAGCAGATCCAAAGAAAAGTTTGAGTCTGATTTTTCTTGGAAACTTGTATATTTTCTTACCACTTTCTATATAAAACATATCCCTAGAAAGGACCTTTCTCTGTGGGACACCACCACTTGTCAGTGCCATTTCAGCCCAGCTTTATTTTTGGCAGTAGGATGTAGTTAGACACAACAGCTGGCATTTCTGCAGTATTTGGTATTTTGAAAAACCACCTTGGAAGTAATTTTTTTTCTTTTCCACACATCAATAAAAATGTCCAAAATAGAGAAAATGGGTTAATTTGGAGAAGGATCTCCAAATGTTGATTTTCCTTCGCATATGCCCAACAATTTCTTTTTAGGAGACAAATGCAGGAGGACATGCCCTCTCTTTTCTGCATTCCAGCAGGCTCCCTTTGCCTTGTCTTTTAAACAGATCCTTGTTTTTGTGATCACAGATTGGAAGCAAATCATGTGCCTGTCTGCTTGCTTTGGGGTAGAGTCTTTCCTGGGAAGAGCTGACTGTGCAAATACCTAATTACAACATAATGTGTTTTTTTAGGCTGAGGGAATGTGCTTCAGTCTGTCTGGCTTTGGGGGTTTTTTGGTAATCAGATTTGTATCCTATGGAAAGAGCTGTGATACCTGTGTATGCTTTGCTCTGTGGATAATTCAAATCAAGATCTGATTTGAAGACTGCAGCACTTAACACTAGCCAACAGAATAATTATGTGATTGGTGCAGGGAGGAACTGGCATCTATATTAAAGGAGAGAGGAGCCTGTGTTAGAAATAAGATGAGCAAGTCCTGCCTCTGTCACCAGTGATCTTCTTTGACCTTGTGGTAAAGCTTTTACTGCCTGATTGACACGTAGGTCTTGAAAGGGTGATACTGTTTCACAGAAAAGGAGCTGTTGTCTAAAAAGATCCCCAAAGCCTTGTAAGATTTATCTTATTAAACTTTCTGGTGCTTTCAGCTCTGGCATATTGTATGGCAGGTAGTATTTCTAATGCAAATTTTAAAATGTATCTCCTAAAGTATTTTAAGCACTGACTTTTTTTTTAGGAAATTTCTAGAAATAGCAGTATGAAAGCAAAAGCTTGAATGCTTTTACTTTCTTAAAGTACCAGAGTTGATGAGTTTTTAAACACACCAAATTTTAATGAAAAAATCCAATTCTTGCTAAGCTCTGCTATTGGTCTCTGAGGCTATCACTGTTAGTAATGGATTAGGAGAACAATGTCACTGAACTGAATTCCTCTTTAATGTGCCACAATTGAAAGGATGATAAGAGGGCTTTCACATTTCAGAAAGCTTTTTGATTGTAGTAACTTTAATAACTTTAAATTAAGTTATGGCTTTACATTAAAATGTATAAAATTATGAAGTCCCCACATCACAAAGTAGTGCCAAAATGATTAGAATGACTTTGTTGTGCTGATGAATTGAGCACAAGATGAGCACTGGCCTATTGCTAAAAAGGTGAACCCTATTAAAATGATTTTTAATAAGCTTTTTAAATGCTTTCCATTTTGCTATTCACATAATTAAAAGGGAGGGAAAACTGCTCAGACTGGGTAAAGAAAGAAAAGCCTTTGGGCTTCATACCATTTTCTCCATTTTAGTTTTATTTGCAGAGTTAAAACTTGCAGGTACAGCTGTCATAAATTTGAAGTTAGAGGGCTTGAAGGTTGTATTGCCTTCAGAGAGGGCAAACACCACTTCTTTTCCTATTTTTGATGAGTTTTTTACCTGGCTTTCTATCCTTGTTTTGTACATGCAGAGTATTTCTGTTCTCTAAGCTGGTGTTCCTGAGAGTGTGTGTTTAGCCAGAACAACCAACATGATCAATGTATGAGTTGCCCATTTTTACATCTCTGTTACAGTGCCAGGGTCTTGTGCCCTCACACCAAGCTGTTTACAAATGTATCATTAGGATATTTTCCAGCAAACCAGCAGCATAGCAGGTTAAATGCCATTAGTGAAATGAAAACTCCAAAGTGCATTTAGAAGAACACTGATTACCAGACTAAATAATCCAGAACAAATGGCCAGAGTCTAACAAACAAAAATGAGTAATAAAACCAAGCTTGTTGGAATATTTTGGCAGTTAACTAGTTTTTTCTTTCCTAGATAATCATACAAACCTAGTAGCTATTACACAGTGATTTGCATGCCAGGGACAATGTTGCTATCAGTAGGAAATCACGTCATTAATATGTATAAAATTTGGACCTGTGAAGCTATCCTGAGCTTGCCAGTCTCTGCTAAGACATTTTTTTCAAGGACACAACAAAAGAGTTCTGTAAATAGACAAAAATTGTATCTGCTGCTGGAAATGGATTTTAATACAAAAGATATGGAAGCAGCTCTCTTCCTGTCCACTGAGTGCTGGCAGAGGAGATCCTTTCACCCAGCCTTGCTCCTACTCCAGCTGCTTGCAGTGGCCTCCTGGGCTGCAGCAGAATCCATGCTGAATCTCTTCTGGATCTCTAAGGAACTTTTCATCATTTCTGGCACTTGGTGTTGATGTGCTCCTGCCCCTCTTGCAGGACTTGCTGTGACTCTCATCCTTTCCCTGTCACAGCTGAGTTTGGGAAGCATCTTTCCATACATGGCAAGGATCACTCTTTTTTCTCCTGTCACTTTGTTCCACTTTGCTGTCCATTGCAGCTGACAGGACAGAACAGCTTTCCCCTGCAGTGCCCTGCCACAACTCTTTGATCACTGCTTGTGATTTGAGCACTTGTGCCATCAGTCACTGTTTCCTCACTACAGGGGAACACTCCCAGCCAGCATCTTTGGGCAGAGCAGCCTGTATTTCAATGAAGCAACAGCTTCTATGTGTCAAGGGCACAGCAGCTCTGGGCTGTATTAACATACCAGCATTGCAAACAGGGTAAATGCAGATCTGGGTTTTATAATATGGCTAATTTGTTCAGAGGTGGTTGTTGAAGAGCACATAATGTCAAGCCATATGGCAGGAAACCTTCATACAAAATTAATTCCATCATTATCTGTTAGTATCTGCATGTTGCCTTTTTCCCAAGGATCTTTTTTGTGTTCAGAGAATCTGTGATATTCACTCAACTCTGGAGCACAGATGTGGAAAAGAAGTGTACCTGCTGTTCCTTGTGTGTCACATAAGTATGCTTAGAGCAGAGGGATTTTTTACTTTGCCATTAGAACTATCATGCCAAAACAATGAGTAATGGCTTTAAAGAAAAGGCATGACAGTCAATTATCTGGCCATACATACCAAGGTGAATGCAGTAGGTCTTTTGATGTGTCCAGTGAGATATTTTGGTACCTTTGAGCCTTTGGTAGTCATAAACTAGAATTATTGCAGTAACTTTTCAGCACAGTGCTAAAATGCTAACAGAATGCTATGTTTTACATGTAATTTTCTACCATATTCATCCTTCAGGAATTACTGTTTTGGGACTTTTTGTAAAGAGCCTTCCTTTGAGAACTAATTATGAAAAATGTTTCTCTGTTTCTCACTTCAAATTACCTCTTAGTCTATTGCAGTTCATCTTGAAGGCATTTTTGTAATGATTTTTTTTTTCATGAACATTAATGCAACCTGTGGCAGATCTGAATGAAATAGAAAGTTTCATCATTTCTGCCAAGAGAATAGTTTTTGTTTCAGCTGCTTTTTTTGTTTGCTTTTTGTTGTTTGCTTTTTTTTTTTGTTTGTTCTTCTTCTTTCTGTAATAATATTCTTTCTGTAATATTGAAGCAGCTGGTTTCTTAAAAAGATAGCAGATTGTTATAGTTTGGAGGAATTATTCTTGAGAAATGAGTGAATAATTAGGACAGTTTCCTGAACAAACCACTTCCATGACCCCAGAGCTGCTACATTCAAATAACTAAATGTTGTGTTCTTCAGAGGAGAATGTGCTTCTCTGGCTTGCAAATATATTTCCCATGGAATCCAAGACCAGGGAATGATGTTTGCTTTATCTCTGTGGTCAGTGTGGTCAGTGTGTAGTACAGAAAAGGAGTTTATCCCTGTGCTCCAGATGAGATTTCCCTTGCAGGTGTTTGGGTGACACTGGATGCATTTGTAGTATCTCTCTGATCAAACCTTTTGCCTAGTGTTTTGTTCAAAAGTTCAAAGGTTATATTTATAAGTTATTAAGTCACACATACCTGGAAAGTTGCATCCAAATGAGCCCACATATAATGGAAGCTTTTTCAGGTTTGTGAAAACCAGCTGTTAATGTACATCCCCCAATTTCTCTAGGTACAAGTGTGACTGCAATTTACAAGTGGTTGGTGAATATTAACTTATGGGAAGAAAAGGAAGTGTCTCCCATGTGCTTCTCATTAGTAAGACCTTAAAAAAAAAAAAAAACAAACAGGAAATTTTGAGGGCAACTCAATGAAAAGATACTGGTGCTGACATAATATGGAATTCATGCAAATCTTTCTGCAGATAGCCATCATCAAAACAAACCCCAATCAATGCAAGGATTGTGGAAGCTTTATGAGGGAAAGATTTTTAAAGTCCTTTTGTGTCCATATGTGGTGAATATCCTGCAGCGTGGATCTGAGGTTTGCACCTGCTGTGTTTGCTAATGCTAGACAATAGTATTAGCATGTCATGATTCCATGACTGCAGAGTAAACTAGGAGGCATCATGAAACCACAGAATAAAAGAGTTGCTAAGCTGAGCATAAGAACGAACTGGAAAACACTTATTTTCTGCTTTTCCTGAGCTTAATACAGACATTTCAGTAGACTTTTTTATAAATGCTGATGGTTACTGAAAGGACTGTTCACATCCCATGGAAATATTTTTGGGGTTTTTGCTGTTCATTTAATTTTTCAAAGTGGTTGTAATAAATTTGATCAAGTAAACTTATGACGTTTTATATTTCATTCCACAGAAATACCTCAGGAGCTTTTTCTCTGCAATGCTGAAATCTCCATCATCTCCACTGAACATTGATAAAGTGGGGCTAACATTGTCAAAATACACCATCTGTGAATTCTCACCCTTCTTCAGGAAAGGCGTTTTTGACTACAGCAGCCATGGGACCAGCTGAGTTTTGGGCCAGGATCCTTATGCTGGAGGAGTAAAGTTGGAGTGCTGCCTTCACTTTAGTGCAAGAGGAATGAGGGAAAGAAAAAACACATGTCTCCTCCATACCTGGAAAGGTGCATCCAAACAGCGCCAATTTGGGACAGCCACGCCCCCACTCTAACCTGTGTCCTTTACCAGCTCCCAAGTCAGTGCCTGCATTCTCCTGGCATGGGGCATACAGACATTTCTGTGTAAGTTGCTCTGTTAATACTGTACAAAGATTCTGACTCTTGTAATGAGTTTGGATCCCCTTCTTGGCAGCAGTGCTTCCTTCCCATTTGCTCAGATAATTTGTTCTGGCCGTTTGAGAGCATCTCATGTTTACCATGGCAGTGTGTTGTGCTGACAGAGGGTTTCCAAGTGGCCTTTTGGTTTCTGTCCAAGCTGTTCCTTAAAGAACAGTTGCTCTTTTGTTTCTTTATAGCACAGTGTCATGTTTAAGGTAATGATCATACTCCACTGTTGTTTCATTTTCTTTCCCTTCTAGATACACTGAGTATTGACTGTATAATTGTATAGTTTTTCTCAGAAGAATTAAAGGGCCTGGGTAACTTGAATGCTTACAAAAATATATGCACCAGGAAGAATATAATTTGAACCCTGTCAGAGTCCTCCATACTTAGTTGTTTGGAGGCTGAACAAATAATTCACCGTTATTAAAAAAGCAAAGGAAGCAATAGTTACCAAATAACATGGTCAGCATCTTTTCAGATTTCGTAATCATTCAGACTGGAAACGGAACTCTGCACTGTACAGAGCTCATAGCTATGCATAAAGCTGATGCAAAGTGCTATATATTGTTTTTTAAATAGCTTCTTCACAATAGTTATAAAACCTGAGGTTTATTTGCATCAGTTAAAATTTACAGGATTTAAATAATAGTACTTTAAAATGACTCAGGATTTATTCAGACTTGCACATATATATACAGGTAGAACTAATTTTATATTGCTGCAGATTCAAAACTATGTATACACTGTGACTGGAATTGAGTATGTGTACATGTTAATGTATAATTGGTTGTATAAAAATCAGAATTGAATTACTTCCAGTTATTAAAATGCATAATGAAAGGTTTGTTTTGTGTGCCATGTGTTCAGAGTATGAAGCATTTTTTCTGAGTTGACATCACTGACCACTGGTAGGTTGTGATAATCAAACTATTTCATGTCATTGAAAATTATTATTAAAACCTAAAGTAACAACAGTGGCATTTTTATTTCATGACCTAAATTATAGGAACAGCAGTGTTTTACATTTAATATGGTACATCAGTGGTCCTGAGGGAGCTGGCCAAGGAAGTGTCTAAGGCACTATTCATCCTATTCAAGAAGTGATGGCACTCTGGGGAGGCTCCCCCTGACTGGAGAAGGGGCAACATAACCTTCATTTTTAAAAAGGGAAAAGAGGAGGACCCAAGGAACCACAGGCCAGTCAATCTTACCTCAGTGCCTGGCAAGATTATGGAGCAGATCCTTTTGGAAACTGCTAAGGCTCATGATAAATAATGTGGTAATTGGTGACTGCCAATATGCCTTCACTAAAGACAAATCATGCCTGACAAATTTGGTGGCCTGGGAAGACCTTCTAGAACCCCTTGCCATACCTACAGGGAGCCTCCAGGAAGGCTGCAGAGAGACAAGGGCATGCAGGAATAGTGGGAGTGGCCTTAAGCTGGTTTTATTAGATATTGGGAAGAAATTCTTATCTATAAGGGTGATGAGGCACAGGCAGATGTTGCACAGAGAGGCTGTGGGCAGCCCCTTCACTGGAGGTGTTCAAGGCCAGGCTGGATGGGTCTGTGAGAAACCTGATGAGAAACACCAGGAAGGTGTTGCTGCCTGTGGCAGGAGCTTTGGAACTAGAGGACTTTTAAGGTCCTTTCCAAACCAGGCCCTTCTGTGATTCTATGTTGATGTATAAAGATAACTGGGTTCCGTTACTAAGCATAGCCTGCCACAATGAGCATCTTTAATTAAAATTTTAAAATAGAAAAAAATTAGAATGGATGATTTAAGTTTTGAGAGTATTTTTATAATTTTAATTCATTTCAGAGAAAACAAAAGTTAGAGTAAAATTTCTAGGCCCTATTATTAGCAGGGTAGGATTTATTGCCTTTGAGTATGTATGACTTTTATCTGACTCTAACTGACTTAGGTATCTTAATATCTTTAGGAAGCTAAGCATTCCAATCAAACCTGTTGATTCCCAAACTTTTTTTTTTTCACTGGGTCCTGGACATTCCTGGACTCCTTCATGCACTGGAGCATTAACTGCCTGTGCTAGATCACCGACAGGGACCCGATCTCGTGATCCCTGCTCTGCCCAGTGCCTTTATTACCCCTCTCCAGGCTCTCCCAGGGCCCTCTGTGCACGTTTCATCCTCCTGACCACAAGGCTGTGTCTTCCCTTCCTTCTTCACTCTGCCATTTGGCTTTGCTTGTGCTTCCCAGATCAGAAGCTGGAGGTTGGGTGCTTGCTGGGTCCCTGTGGTGAGCTGAGTAACTGGAGTTTGGTGTTGCAGCAGGTTAATGGAAGACTGGTAAGTGCATGTGGTTGTCTTGCTCTGATGAATGCTTCAGAGGCAGAAATTAGGGATGATAAATAAATGACTATGAATCTCACTCAAAGCCAGTGACTGTTTTTGCTTCTCCTTCTCCCTTGGCTTGTTCCCCTTCCTACCTCATTGCAATGAGGTATGGTAAAGAATTAATGCCTCAGATCTTCAGAAAAATGATTTTGTGTAACTGTAGAGCATTATTTCCTGTGTGCCACTTCTATGAAAGGACCTAGCAGGCCAGAAAACAGTAAACTGCTTTATCTGCTGCACTGATAAACCCATTTCCTGCAGTTGTCTTTCCTGAAAAACTACCAGTGTGCCAAGCATTGCACCACATGGTGAATGCTGGTTATGAAAAGGCAAAAGCAAACAGGACTCCTAGAGGTATTTTGTGTCACTTCGGATTTGGAGAACCTGTTTAAGAAAAACTCAACGTGATAAAGAGTTAAGTCAAGTGAAAAATTTGAATATTAATTTTTTTTCACTTGAATTTAAAAGAAGACTTGTACTGGATTCCTGCCAACAGTACAAATTGATTCAGGACCAGGTGCTCCAATGGTGTAAACTTGCCTATAAGATGGTTAATTTATGTTGTCTGACCTGCAGTGTTAAATGTGTACATTGCAAATAACAAAGGTCTATTAATCACTCTGTTTACAATGTCATCAAGTTAAAAGCTACAGAGTTGTGAATGTAAGCATGAGATTAGGACCACAACCCCCAGCTACCAGTTTTTCCCACCTTCCTAGCTATCTTTCAGTGGTGTCCAGAGTTTAATCAATGATGGCAAGCTCAGGCTAAGCTAGGAGGCATCTTTGAATAATTACATCAGTTAAAAATATGATGGCTGTTTATAACCTACAGTCTTTAAACTCAGACTTCATGAGAAGTTGTCAATAGAAGCTGAAATGCATATAGCTAGCCATTCTAAAGATGTTCCAATTGCATTTCTCTGAAGATATCCTCAAGCTCTAAAATTGTCCATTAATTTTATTTTCAACATACTGACGCTTTCAACAACACTGTGAAAGTTATTTTCAGGCCTGGTATGGGTGGTGGTTTTTTTCCAAGTGCCTAAGTAATTGAGAAATGTCCTTAAGTAAAACCTAACTTATGTATCAGTCCTGTATATATTTCAGGCAAAGTGTGTGTTTAAGTACTTTACTGTAATGGGGCTATCACACTTACCCATGCAACTGAAATCATGCCTCCATTAAAGTCACCAAACCACTTGGCTCATATCCTTGCTGAGCCTACAGCAGCTTTTCATCAATAGGATTGCACCAAAAAAGGCTAAAAAGCACACTGGAGATGGTGCTTGGCTTTTTTTTTTTCCTTTTCCCTTCTGCATAACATGATTAAGTGCAAAAAAACTTTGAGGAAAGCCTTGTTGCTGGTCTTGACCCTGCTCTCCTATAACTGGAAGTGCTTTTCCCCCGAATGTGCTGCTGCTCACAGGAAAGAGGTAGAGCAGCCCTCAAAGCCCTGCTGATAAATGACTCCTGGCAATCTCCTTGCTCCTGTAGGTGGGAATAAGAAATAGGTTTGTATTAGACTGTGATAAAGCTTGAAATTTTATATGTTCCCAGCTCACCAAAGCCCCAAAATTGGAAAAAAAATATTATTTTTCACTTACAAGTTTCTTATGTTCATCCTTGGGTTTATTTTCTCTGTGTTTCATTAGATTCTGGAAAAAAATACGTTTGATAAGATAAAGAGCAAAAATTTTATGGCTCTCACCCTCATAATGGGAAATAGAAGATATTCCTTTGCAGGACAGATTTCATGAGCAATTAATATGTCTATGCATTGTACAGGCCCTGAACCAGTTAAAAGCTTAAAGTCTGATAAAGATATATTTTCTTGGCAAAGATGTAAAGTGAATTTTTTTCATATACTGGGTCCTGCCACTTTTTAAAATAGTTTTATTATTTTAAGAGAATGCTTTGTTATTATTGGTGGCAGACCAGAATGCTGCTGTAGATATACCTTTTTATTCCTAATACAATGAAAACAAAGTTGATTAGGAACAAAAATATGATAAAATATAATTAAGGTTGGAAAAGGCCTCTAGGATCATCAAGTCTAACCATTACCCCAACGCTGCTGTGTCACCAATAAACCATGTTCCCAGGTGCCACATCCACACATTATTTGAACATTTCAAAGGCTGGTTATTCCACCATTTCCCTGGGCATCCTGTCCCAATGCCAACTACCCTTTCACCAAAGAAATATTTTCTAATATCTAATCTAGACCTCCCCTGTAGCAACTTGAGAAAGAAGGAGGTTGGGAAAGTGAACGGTGACCTGAAAATGAATTTTGTGGGAAGGAGGTAGACTTCCTTATGCCACTTGTGCAGTGCAATTAAATCCATCAAAGACCTCATCCAACTGGCTGAAAATACCTGATCACAAACAATACTGTTCTTTTGTCTTTTTGAGATTGAGTTTTAGAAGGAATGTGTTGGGAAGCCATACTAAGGGTGAACATGAATGTTTGACAAAACGGAGGCAAAATTTTGGACCAGAAGCTTTAGTCTCATGTTTGCAGTGTGTAACAAGTCTTAGAAGCAAACATGCAAGTGGCAGCATGGGAAACCCTGTGTCTTTTTTCTTCTTTACAGCTTTGTTTTGTTTATAAATACTGACAATTTTCTCTGAAGTTGTGCTGACATTGGAGCATGGCAGTACTTTGGTGGTTGTTTTTGAAACTGGTCTCAGAAAAAGAAATAGGTCTAAGGAAAAAGTTTACAGACTCTTTCAAAGTCCTTCTTTTGCTAGCTTCTTCTATCTTCTCATGGCAGTTTTGTCTGGGTGGCTTGTTCTCATTCTTTGTAAGTTTTCAATTATTTCCTGTCTGTAGTCTTATTTTACAGATGGTTTATAAGAATGTGCTGGGAAGAGCTGAAGAGAAAGCAAATCCTTTATTACATGACAAATGGTAGTTATCATCTTCTGATAACTTGTTCTGCTCTCCTGTTTTTCTGTTTCCTTAAAGGCATGGATCAGACATCATCAACTGAAACCACATTTTAGTTGTGTTCTGCAAAAATTGGTGTCCTTGATTTTTGATATTGGGATTTACAACAGAAATCAGAATCTCAAAAATGAGCAGGTGAAAATAGTTACCGGTGTTGTCATTGTTCTCCCTGGGAAATCAGTGTGTTTTCACGACTTCTGCATCATGGTTTGTTTTCTTCCCAAATGTGAATACCTTGGAGATGTATGAGTTGCAAATTACTCCTTTCCCTGGTGCAGAGTAGCATGCTGATAATAGGTGCAAAATGAATCTACTGATAATGAGAGCTTCAAGAATTGTTCTATGGAAACTAATGATGTGTGTATCAAATCACCTGTTTTTCTCACTGAGTTCAACAAGAGAGAAGGCAATGCTCCACTGCTGAAAAAACAAGCCATGGCACATTTTCATCCATAACCACCTCCAATTCTCATTATTTTAGTAGCTGAGCAACAGGAGAAGAGTGCTGGACAATGCAGAGGCAGCAGAGACCTCTG